TAGGAGCCAGCAGAGCATTTGTTCCTCCTATGGAATTCTGCTGGACAAATCTGTCATCTAAATTGCAGTCACTGGCGCGCAACTCTGTCCTAATCTGATGTTGCTAAAGATCCGTTCCCATTGAGCCCGTGCTGAATGCAAACATTCCTGCACTCCTAATACAAATATATCCCTTAATGCCACATTTTACTTTTGCAATTTACCAGAGCTGTTTGGTGTTAACTACTCGAGGAATCTGGTATGAGTCTGTAATGTTCAGTGCCTACAGAAAATAAAGAGAAGTTGCACAAGGCTTTCGAAGCTCAGTAGGTAACGTGAGAAACGTTAGCTGGTTGAAAAGCTCCAAATGATAAACTTTTTTTTCAGTTTGGAAAACACTGATTTGTTCAGTAGAACTGTGGGAGGAAAAGGAATCCAGAAGATATTCAGACATTGACCAAAGCAAAAAGGAAAGTTGGAGAGTCAGAGGAAGCATTTTAGTTCTTTAAGAGTGCTTTTACTGCTATTGTGATATCTATTAACATTCCTGCCTGCAATCTATCTGTCAGGATTCTCAAGTCCATTTTCTTGGAAGAAGAAAACATAGGCTGCAACATGGCATTGTTTTCTGCCTGCTCTTTTCTTCAGCACATTGATGGTGACAGAGCAACTTCTGTGAGCAGTCACATCTGGGCAGGAGGGTGCAGGTGGTCCTAGCAGGCAGTGGCCAGGCAGCAGATGGAAAATGAGTGCACTGTTCCCCTGTAGCATCCAGAGCCTAAAAAAAGTTAGAGGGTCTGGAGGGAAAGCAAAATTTTTCTTTTGATAATACCAACATTTTTCCTTTCATGTGTTTTGAAGCTTGGAAATCTAACTTTGAGTGAAAAGGGCACTATAATAGCTCAGCTGCAAAGTCTGCCTCAGTTTACCTGGGGAATCAGGTAAACATTCAATGAACTTGCAGCTTCTGGGCATCAGGTAGAAGCAATGATGTGCAGGGATTGTTGTGAATTTAAATCCTGCCTCTTGCTAAATTGGTACTGATTGCTCCCTGACAGAGAGAAACGGGCATGAGTAGGCAAGCATAATTACCTGAGCCTGATGGGGGCTCGGGAGCAGGCCTGGAATGTGGAATCAGTTTGATATTGAATTACTCGTGTTGCGGGTTGTCCCTGTTAACCTTTAGAAAAAGAAAAGTGGTTGTTTTCTACAGTGAATTGCAGGTAGTAGAATCAGATTTTAAATAGTCAGGGCTTGAAGCATACGTGTGGACATCTATTGTGTCAGTTTTAATGGCAGGGAAATTGTCGTTTGACTACAATGCCACAAAAGAAATAAAACAAGCCACCTCTGCAACCAGTGGTAATTCCAAAAGCAAACGTGTGCTCTGGACTGCACATCTGTAGGAAGCTGCTGACAATTGTTGCTGTTTCACTATACAAGAGTGATGTGGAAAACCTTGGACAATTCCATAATGGGGCATTACTTCATTTCCCCCTTAGAGAGTGTGTGAACTTAATTGTATGAGGCTTTTGGGGTTTTGCCTGTTCTCTGTATCACCTTCTATTTATAGGTTTCATTAACTCTTGTTTCAGATTGGCTGCTGTGGAATAGGGTATTTTTTAATTTGCAATTCTTGTCCAAACCTTGGACAAGAAGGTTTGAGGCTGAACTGGGCTGGCTGGGTGGTAGTCCTGGGCAGTGCAAGTAGTAGGTACAACAGTCTGTGTTTTGAAAGGCTCTGTGTAACGTGGGAGTTTTCGTTTACGCTGCTTCTTCTGAGCATCTTGTCCAACATACAACGAATCAAGCTGAGAAGGATTACTGAATAATCTTTTTTTTTATTTTTCTGAGCATGGAAATATGTTGAAAGTGTTCTGTTTCCATTGAACTAAGGCTTAGATAGGAGACCAAAGTGAGGAAGAACAGATTTGAGGAATTATTGGAGAGAAGAGAGATGTTCTGAAATGCTGCCAGTGTTTGCTTTAGGAATAAGAAGGGTAAATTTGGGGGAAGGCTCAAATGTGAAGTGGGTGTGGGAGAGATCAGGGAATGTTTGAGGAAGAATCTGATTTACAGACTGCAAGTGTTCGAAGAATTTTTGGGGGTTTTGCTGAGCTAATTTGTTTCTATATTAATAATTTCCAGCTGTAATCTTTATACAACACTTTTGTTTTTCCTTGATGTCAACAGAAAGAGATGGTGTAATCACAAAAACAAGGTGTTAGGTAAATTGAGGGAGTACAACTTCTATGGTCAGGTTATTTTTTATTGAATTTCCATTTTGTAATTACAGCACAAAACAAAAATAGAGCCTCACTGCAGTACCTCCATCCACCTTCCCCCCCATCACTGAACATGTCCTTATTTTAAAGGATATAGTTAATATTTGATACTTTGAAACTGCTTTATATATTAATCTATTAAATTATTCTAGTGGATTAAATTCAATTATTGGTTAAATCTATTTAATATATGTTTAAATGTTGGCTTTTCTTAACAGTGCTTTTTTTCCCTACTTCTTGCCACAGATAGGCAACCAAATTATCTCACAGGATTGCTGGATTTTTCTTGTTGTTAGCTAAACAAGAGCAGTGATTTTTATTGGATTCCACCAGAGTGGGGGCCAACAACATTGGTATGGCAGAATATTCTTGAATCATAAATCAGTATTTGAGGTAATTTAATGAGTATTTTGCAAAGGCTAAGGTATTGCAAATGATTATGAGAATTCAGTGTTAAACAAGATGTCTAGACATATTGTCTCATTTTTTCATCACCTATGTTTCTATTATTTTCTAGCACACAAGTTAATGGAAATATTTTAACCATAGTATGATGTAAAATGATGGGATAAAAGAAAAAAAAAGCTTATAATTAACCTTTGACTATAAAATTGAACTTTTCAACTATATTGATAAATTAATATTTGTATACAACATCCTGATCCAGCTTTTAGTAGAAGCTATGGTGCCTTTGTGCACCTCTTCTGCAAAACATGCCTCTGAGCTTGAAAATACATGAATGTTCTTGATGGATTTGGCTGCTCTTGGTCTTGAAATTCCCAAGCAGTGATGCATGAAATGTGGTAGGTGGTATGTAATTTCACAAAGGTAGATGAGGCATACTACTTAGAACTTAAATTTTAGGTTGAAATTGCCCATATTAGAAGTCTTTTTGATTTTTTTTTTTTTTTGGCTACAAACTCAATATTTAATAAGTTCCATACTTGGGAAGGACTCTCTTTTTCAGCCTTAAAAAATTATTTGAGCATTAGTTGATGCATGGGAAGTAATTAGGTCATTGAAACAAGAGTAGTAGTTTAAAGAATTTGTCTTAATAGCTGTCAGAAGTTGTAGTGATACCTCTGAACAGATTCTGTGAATATTTAAAATTTTTTTGGTGGTTCAGAAAGGTGAACTTTTAAGAATAAAAGTATCTTTCTATAGAAAAATATTTGTTTAGTGCTTTTCTTTGAAACAAATGCTTTTTTTGTTTGTTTAGCAGAGGTGACTCAGCTTTTGTTAGTTACCATAGTTCAGCACTGGTTTTGCATTTCCATGTGAATTTCTAGTAATTCCCAGGCTTGGTTTGAGGTTTGGGGATCTTGTTGTACAACTTCCGTTAGCTGCCTGCAGAGCTGCACTTCCCTTCGTTGAATTTGGAAAAACATCAAACAGGACTTAAGCCTTGGTCTAATATTCCTCCTATGTCACTCACTGCTCAAAAAGTCAAATAACATGTAGTAATGCAGTGGCTGTGGACAGAAGCGAGTGGTAAAAGGCTCTGCTTGCTTTAAACTAGTTATCTGATAGATAACTACCATGGCAAGTTAATAAGGTAATAGATATTGAAAGGTATTTTGAAAACAAAACAAAAAATCTTTAGAAATAAAATAAGCTGCAGTGTTGGGAGGAGCAAGGACAGCCTGACAGCATTTCATAGCTGAGAGGTTGCAGCTGACTGCTGAAGTTCAGCTGGTTTGGGTAGCTGTAGTTGTGCAGTAGCTGGTTCTTGGTTTGTATTGTCAGCAGAGTTGTTCTCCCACTGCTGGTTCCCTGTTTGCTGGCCACCACTGCTCATACGTTCGTGTCATGAGAGCAGTAACTGTGTGCCTGGAGGTTTTGAGGAGCTCAGTTACTCTTCTCTAGTGTTTGGATTGGAAGGATAAAAGGCTGAGAGGATCAAATAGGTGTTGAGTTTTGGCTTGACCTTGACTTCTTTGAATTACTTCCTTTATCAGACTTGGTTACTCTGTTTGATCCCAGTCCCTTGTTTAAGACTGGCTTCTGCCTTTTGGCACTCCAATTATATAGATTCAGAGTCTCCTCTTGTCAGCTGGATTGCTGCTGCCCAATGAAAATGCTCCCTTAAGCAATAAAATGGCAAGTAAATCCATAACTTAATTGAGTCTGGTTTAAATTAAGTAATTTGGTAGCCTGATGTAACCAAGAGCAGTACTGTACTGGCATGTAAGCACTCTAGAGTACAGGGTCATGAATTAAGATAAAACAGTGTGGGTTTTATCTTTGAGTGGGTTTACTTGGTTTCCATTTAAAAGTTGATAAAGTTGGACAAATGCAAGTAAGGATGAGAAGGAAATTAAGATTAGTATCTTGACAAATTTTAATGCTAATTTGAGACACTGGAGGTATTGATGAAGTCTTTGATAAAACTTAGGTTTGAGTACACTTGAATGTTGTGTTGAAGTCATCCAAAAAATTTGGATGTAGTGCGCACTGAAATCTTTGTTCCTGTTTCCTGCAATTTTATATAGGAGGACCAGAAGCCATTGTTGACTGTTAGAAGTTAAATTTTTGGAATTGTGTGGACTACCTGGGTAGATAGAATGACTTTGAGAATGTTCCTTGGAAAAATAATTTCAGAGCCATGTCATTCAATGTTTTTTTTAAGTTGTATTTCTTAAATAGTGTTACTGGATGATGTCTGTGAAGAGTTAGAATAATTTTGAGCTAACTTTGCTCTTTGTTTTATTCTTGTTTCTTTCTTTGCAGGAGAAAATGGCCAAAATGGAGGTCAAGACGTCACTTTTAGACAACATGATAGGGGTGGGAGATATGGTTCTTTTAGAGCCACTCAATGAAGATTCATTCATCAATAATCTGAAAAAGCGCTTTGATCACAGTGAAGTATATGTGAGTATATTTTAACAAATAACATCCTGTGCGGAGCTGTGTTGCCATTCTTAAAATATGTGTTTATTTATAAGGATACACACAGGCTGGATGCCTGAGCGTAATCTATTGTATTAGGGATATTTTAAACCTGACTTGAGCTGTAGTCTTTCCTGGACTGCATTGTTTGCATTTGATCCTTTCCATCTGGGATTTTTTTCCTTTTTCTTTTTCCCCATTGCACAATGTGGTAGACCTCTGATTTTCACAAAAAAACCCCAGTTCCAGAACTAATGATGACAATAACTTTGATATTCCTGTTGTCAGAGGACATTGCAGTTATAAATAATTCACTTACAGGGAAACCACTTCCAGGATGTTGGAGCAGGTTGTTACAGGAACAGTACATGCTTGGAATACGCAAGGGCTAGTTTAAAGGTTGCCTGCTATATTTGATTTGCAAAAAATTATGTTTTTTGTAATGGTTGGATTTTAAACTAGAAACCATGAGCTTGGATTTATGTGGAAGTAATCAAAATAATTGGGAATATTATCTCCAATTGAAGATCAATAGGAGAGATGTTGTGAGCTGACAGTTGAAACACAGGGAATAAAGAGCCAAATTGTGATTCCAGTTAAGCCTTTCATTTCCTGCTTCCTCTCTCTTTGTTCCTATTTTGTTAAAATGTGCACAATATTCTATCTGTTGTACTGCTGAGGCTGTGTGAACTTAATGATTTTTAGAGACTTTCCAAGACTGCTGATGAAAGGTAAGTCTTTTTGGAGTAAAGCTGAAATATTTAAGCCAGAGCAGAGCTGCGATCTGCAAGCAATTGTGTCTGTAAAGTACAAATCAAATAGATGTGTTCTGTACTTAATTATAACTTAGCCTTCCTCCCCTAATGATTTTTAGTGTGACTGTATTTTTCCTTCTTGCTAAACATTTGAACCTTTGTGGTTTCATTGCACTTATTCATTTCCATCCTCCAGTATGGGAGGATCTGTATTATTTTTGTTTGCTTCTTCTGTCCCTTAGTTGTAGACCTCTGCTCTTTTGTACCTCTGCTATTCATTGTCTGCCACATTTTTCTTCCAGAGTAATTTTCCTGCTCAGCTGTGCCTGTTCCCTTTTCTGTAGTCATTGCCTTGGTAATATACAGTTGTACCTATCTGCTATTGTATCACCTCCACATATTTGCTTCTTAAGTTTAAGACCAGAAAATTAAAATAGGACAATGACTGTGTCCATTAAAAACCTTGTTAGAGAAGAAACCAAAACACTCTGTATTTGCAGAAAGATTTCATCCACAATTGCTAAGTAAAAAAAAAATTCATCTTTCTGATATTTTTGAGGGTTACATTTCCAGAAATGTGTATCTTAACTTTTCCTTGGTCCTTGAAGTTGTAGTCTTTATAACCCTTGTAGTCTTGATAACCCTCTTGGTAACCCTTAGCTGTTGATACAGGCAGGCAGATATCAGACTGCTGCTCTTTAATCCTGCTTCTGGCAAGTCCTTCATATTCAACAGCTGCAGTGGTGCCTCTTTGGTGTTTCATTTTTTTTTCCAATCAGTGGGTTGTACAATTAATGTGTTTCACATCAGTTTTACCATTAACCTTATATTCCTAATACCTAGTGTAAAAGTGGGTGATAGTCATCTGATTCCACTTTAGCTCAATAAAATATGAAGAAGAAGAGAAGGAAAAGGAGCTGTTTGCCTAAATTAAAGAAGACAGTACTGCTACTTTGCCCAGTCTTTGGGTCATATTTGAAAGCTTTATTTAAAGCATTAAGGATAGAAATTTGTTCTGTGAGGATACCCTACACTACACAGTCTCATAAAAAGGATTGCTGTAAGTCATATGAGAGTGGATTTCCCAAGGTTTGTTGGGGTTTCTTTACTCCAAACTATTGCAGATTGCAAAGTATTTAATTACATGTTTCTGTTTAATTTAGACTGGGTAGCCCTTTCTTGAAAGAAATATGTTTGAATGACAAATGGCTAATCTGTTTTATTTTTATCCACTATTACATGCTAGGTTACAACCCTGTTCAAACAGACAGCTCTGTCAGACAGTGAAGTGAAGCATGTTTTCCCCTCAGTCTCTCATTTGCCTGGGCCTGGCACTGATGTGGAATGTAATTAGCTGTATTATGTGTTTTGGCAGGTAATACAAGGTGTCACATTTCTCTAGCAGCTTAGGATCCTTTGCCTTGCAGGTGGGAAAGCCTAATACTTAAACATTATCTGTTGAGAAGTGTGAACTGTGCCAAAGCCACAGGGTATTTTTTTCTTGATTTTTTTTTGTTTGTTTCGTTTTTTTTGCTTGTTTTCCCCTGAATCTTTCCCTTGTAGTTCGTTGCACTGTCATTTGCCCTTTTTATCTCCAGGTTTTTTGATCAAGTGATATTTAGAATTATTTTCTTTAAGGTCTTACAAGTACTGTTTGTGAATCCACACACTATGAAGGCAAAATGTGGTGCTTTGCTGGTATTAAAACATAGACTACGTCAGTGGTGGAAAGAATAGATGCTTTTGTCTGTGTCACATGCTCCTGCAAAGTATACAAGTAACTCAGTTTGTAATGCTGCATTGTTTTATTTACCAAATCACTTGAGGAATATTATCTCCTTTCTGTATCAGTTCTGCTGCCCTGCAAATTTCATGCCACTGTTGTGTATTTTAGAAAACTTTTAAAACAGTAACGGTTGGAATGGTGCTCCTGGTAATCACCACATGAATCTTCAAGGGCAAACTCTTCTTTCCCTTCTCCTTATTGCCACCCACTCTCTCTTCCCCAGAGTTCCGTCATAAAAACTACACCTTGCATTTCTGTTTTTAGATTCATATGAGCACAATGAAACCTTTGTTACATCTGGAAGTGGTGTTTCTTTTATCACATAAAATCCATAGTCTGTATGCTGTCCTAGGGAAACCAGATTGGACTGTTAAAGAGCTACTGTTGGTCCTTAACAAAGATTGCAGATAATTCTTCAGTGCTAAAGAGCTATGTACACAGGTTGACCTCTCAGGATCCTTTCAGAGGGCAGTAGGAATGGATTTGTCCTTTCATGGCTCAGTTATGGGGTTAAGTTCAGCCCTCTTGTCAGTGCTCCATTGTGGGCATTACCAAAAGTTCTGTCCAAGTTTAAAAAGTCAGTCAAACTGAAGCCATATGTACATGGTGAAGTGTTTCTACAGCAGTAAACCAGGGCTTACTCAACATCAGTTCCTAGGCAGTTTCCTGTAGCCTCACAGCTGTATCTGTGCTACATATGTTAGCTTTAAAACGGGGTTGCAGTTATAACCTTCAAAAGAGTTTGTTGTGGGGAATGAGACCTGTTACATGGATAGCTATGAAAGTGCTGTAACGTTGGCCAGACGTTGCTTAATTGTGTTAGTCAGTCTTGTTAGGTAAAACAGCAAAGGGAGCTTATAGGAAAGTTTTGAGTAGAGCCTGTTGTGATAGGATGGGAATGGGGGGGGTGGGTGGGGGCAGGGAGATGATAACTGCAAATTAAGATGGGGTAGATTTAGACTAGATAATAAGGTTTGGTTTTCTTTTTATGATGAGACTTATGAAACACTGGCACAGGTTGCCCAAAGAGGTGGTAGATGTCCCATCCCTGGAAACATTCAAGATCAGGTTGGATGGGGCTTGAAGCAGCCTGATCTAGTTAAAGATGTCCTTGCTTATTGCAGGAGGCTTGGCCTAGGTAACCTTTAAAGATCCCTTCCAAGCTAAACTGTTCTCTGAAATGTGAGTTGGATCGAGCCATCAGTGAACAGTGCCAAATCTCTCCCCGTAGCCAAAGATGACAAGATAAATGGGCTCGTTCCACTGGAAGACAATACAATTTTTGTCTTTTCTAGTCTCCTTCACAAAAGTTATGCTTGACACTGCATGTTTGATGTTGGAGATCCTCCTGCCAGCTCCACTTATGCCTTTGAAATCTTTGATCTTCTCCATAAGAGCTCCCCTTGCAAGAGCATTCAGATCTGGATCCCCTGATGATCCTCTTGTACAATCTTGGCTGTGGTCATTGTAAGACTTTCAAGAAAATCAGCTAACTTTCCTACCATGGTGCAAAGAGGGCAATAAGTGTACCCCTAGCAGTTAGAGTACAGCTTGATTAGCCCTTGTTCAATTTTATGTGTATTTGATGGAAAGTTTAATGGACTTGGGTGTTAGGTTGCATACCAGTGCGCAAAGCTGGAGGCTGTGCCTATGAAAATAAGCATGAAGGCTGGTGGAGCTGGAGTTAGGCCAAATATTCTACTAAAGACCATCAGATTCTGCAGCAGTCTCATGCTGAGTGGCTTTGGGGGGAAGGGCTCATTGGGTAATGTGTGTGTTAATTGGAAATGGGAATCCTGGACCTTAATAGTGTCTGGAAATGTCTAGGCAATGTCTGACCAAGAAAAATCTCATTAGAAAGCTGTAATTGTTTATTATTTTCTTTTTGTAGCTCTTAAACTTTTCATTGATAAAATTTGCATCACTCTGTTGCAAAATCTCTCTTCTGTAAATACCAGTAACAAAAGCCTGTGAGAGTTTTCGTTAATTTTACAGTGTAAAAAGTGGCTTGTGGGCAGTGCAGTTAACAAGTAGAAAAAAACCACGACATTCATTATGTGAAGGTTCCAGAGAGCAGTTGGTGTGGTTAAAATGTGTGACCTGGAGACAACATGGGAAGCTTCAAATACGTTCATAATATTCAGTTCATAAGTGACTGGTGAATTTTGACTCATTCTGTTGAACTCCCTCCCTCAGTTTCCACTCCCACCCCAGCCCAAGCTGGCTGAAACACACTCACCCAATCCAGCTCAGCAATTATTTCTCCTTTGTATTTTGGGATGCTGACATTTGTCAAATCATCAAAATGGGATGAAAATGGGAGAGGGACATCTGTCTATATGTGTATTTACAGCGACTCATGAATGGTAGAGATTTGGGATAAACTGCAGTGTATGTATCAGTCTGAAAGCTGCTTTTGTACAGAGTTTGTTGCTTTGTGA